TAAAACTTGTTTGTTAGTCAATATAAATTCATACAACATATTTCACATTAAAGTACTCACATTAATGTATACAAAGTACATTTAAATGTGGATTTTTGTAATATCACTACAACTTTTATATAGGAACATTTTTTTCAATAATTTCTGTCTTAAAGTATTTCACCACTTGCATTTAAATGTAACATTCTATATACAAATTGTAACAAATTGTACTGATATAATATAATATTTCTATTTGACTTGATTATTTTTACAATGTTAGGGTGAAATTTAAATATTTAGAAATTAGTTATTAGAAGAGAAAATTTATCTGTTAGTTTAAAAACTAGTTTATGCTTTTTAAGAAATTTTAAGAAATTTTAATGAAGCATTGTAGATATAAAAAAGTAATATGAGTAACTTGATAAAACATGCCGTACCAGGTTGGTACATATGTATACATTACCAATTGTATAAGCATCATAATTAGTTTTCTTCACCATTTTGCCAATATTTTGTGTTAATGTAACATGTTTACGTTGCTTCAAACACACAGTCATGCACTGTTTTACAGCTCCAGCTGCCTTTTCAATGTATTTCTAAGCAATACATATTACAATGTATTATTGAAAGACACATTTTCCAAATATCACAATTTACTGTGGTTTAATACTTGTTCGAATGTAAGAATAGCCTCGAGGAATGCAAATATACTTGTTCCTAAAGAATGATACATGCTACTGCCTGCCCAAGGTTCCATAATTTTTCTTGCTTCTTCAAAATCATTATTAAAAAAATAATGTATCGCTTTTTTTGCCTCCATAATTGCTGTATCCAAATCCATAGTAGTAGGCCTTGCAACAAAATATAATTAATCAAAAATACATGTTTATGTACATATGTTTAGTTATATTTACAACATACTTACTGTGGTAAAGATTCGTGAGCATCTTGAAACTAAAATATTGAAATAAAAATTTCATTAAAATACTGTCATTTATTATTTATTAATAAAAACTTTAATTTGGTATTATCTTGAGTGACACATACCTCGTCTTCTTCGATATCTGACATGATGAATTAATGTTTTAGATAAGCTTAAAAGATATATTGCAGATTATAATTCATTGACATTTAATTTATATATGAGATTTATATAAGAATAAAATATTCTCACACTTAACAAATATTCAATATTGAGATCTTATATTA